ATTAAATTTTTAATTTATAAGAGTAAACAATTTGTTTTTTTTTTTTTTTTTTTTTTTTTCTTTTGTTTTTTTCTAGGATGTAGCAAAACTTTTAAAATTGCAACTGCACTGAAAGAACCTAGCAACTGCAAGCTCAAGAGATTATCTTTTATAAATCTAGGTAAGAAGTAGCTGAATGTGGCATAAATTGGTAGAATATTCAGCATGTGTTTTCCAGGTTTTGATTTTTATTCATGGCGTTACTCCCCATTTTCTAATCCTGCCTTGGTCCGTTTTATACTGCTAGGATTTTAGTGAGCATAAGTTTATGCTGTTTCATACTGTAGTCACAGTATTTGCTGTTTCATACTGTAGTCACATCCCAGTGTGGTAATGCAAAAAAAAAAGTGAAGTGAAAAATGGAACCCAAATGACAAATGCAGAAAATTACATTTCTGTGAGTACAAAAGCAGTGCATATTGCCAGGGTTGTTATGGTTATAAGCAAACTTCATTCTAAAACCATTGACTTGCAAGGTGTGCAGACAAACAATGCGAGCATTGAGTGAGCTTTACCCATACATATTTTTTAAGCTTGCTTGATAGCTCAAGTACATGGAGTTCTAAAACTAGCACGTATCAAGTATTTACCTATCTCCTCCTGCAAAATTCCCACTGGCCAATAAAGAAGACATTTTACTGTTCAAGTAAAACTATGGCTTCCCACCTAAAACAAATGTGCTAAATCATTTAATTTAAAGGTGAATCATCCTTTACAGATGTATCTTGGTCCCCCTGCAAAGTCCCAGAAATATCTGTTAAGCAAGTAAATTCCACCTAATTCAGCTTCCTTTGATTATGTGGTAATGATGCTGCACTGCTCTTGAATTCATAGCAAAGTTGCTGCTCTCATGAAGGCAGCGCCTTGCTTGTACTACAGTAGGATGAAAATGTGTTGCAGGAGGTGTGACTATCAGTATTTTCACTGCTGATTTACAATATTGTAGTTTTGTCAGTCAGCACCTGACCACATCTAGTGCTGCCCAATGCTTACTGGATTGGCAGCACTGCCTCTGTTGAAACTCCCACTGTGAACTTCAGTGTCTGTAAGGGGGAGTGTGTGAACCAAATTCTCCATTTGTGTCTGTCAGGAAAGGTAAATATGCATCACATAGTATCTTGATTTGGTACTTATTTAGCCTGTCATATGGGAGCTTTTATGATTGGTTCAGGCTTGTTGTGGTAATGTTCAGGGGTGTGGAATAAAAAAAAAAAAAAAAAACTACTTGTCCAAGGACTGAAGCAGGGGTCCAATCTTCTTGTCCCTCTTGACAATCCACTTGTCCTGATACAAAAAAATTACTTTTACTAAAACCGTTTTTGACCTTGCTGACCTATGAGAGCTTGCAATTTGCAAGCGAAATTCAAAATCCATAGCGCAGGTCTGCACTAGATGACAGTACAGGGTACATATATTAACCTGTACCAGCACAGGGGAAGGACAATTCGCCAAAAGGTAAATATAAGGGGGGAGCTTAGGGGGCCAGATTTTAGGGGGTAAAAGTGAAGTGAAAAATGGTACCCAAATTACAGAAGCATGCGTTCCTCTATACTGGTTCTGTGTGGAAGTGGCCATCTTGGTGGAAGAAAGGTTCCTCATGTCACAGCCTTCAGCAAGGAGAACAGTGAGATTTGGTGATTTCACTAATGTGCTGCTCACTCCATATCTCTTGACTAGCAGTCAGAGGCAGCAGTGCCCTAAACCTCACACTGCAGATATACAGCTATGAGGCTGAAGGCATAAGAGTACATAGGCACCCTCACATACAAGTGGACTGATAATTTTCAGGAGGAATTCAAAACAAAAAGTAAAGTTTATATAGGCTACTGCTTAGGTACAGTTAACATTTCTAAATGTTCACTATAGCATAGCAAATCTTCAATTTTGAGTTCAGTTTCACTTTAAGGCCACCAATCATGGTAACGTGCCAATAGAAACCAGCTAAAACAGGGCAGGTTGGCACTCATCACTGCTGTAGGACATTTGGTGTAGGCCTTAATTTTTGTTTCTGATTTAAATGCATTTTTTTTTCTAGATGGTTATGTTGCTGTTTATTTGCCTGATCATTTTTTCCACTTGATAAACACAAAGTATCCTGACTTGATGTGTTATCACTTGTTTTTATCAGGTAAGTGCAGATCTATCTACTATACCATGTTTCAGCAGAGAAGCAATACACATTTCTGCAGGGAAATTTTGGTCTTGAAGTCTGACCTGTAAGGGGCTAGTGGGTGCTTTTTACCCTTCGTTGCCCATCCAAAGCTGAAATATCACTTTTTGGATGGCATTAATCTTCAATTGTTATTGTAAACAAATGCTGCTGCTGCCATCTCCTTCTGGATTAACTTATATTTACTAGCTCATGATTGCAAAATGCTATTTTTTTTAATTGTCTTTTGCTGTAGAGAAGTGATCTTGATTAAAGGAAACCTGTACAGAGAAAATATGGATGATGGTATTGCTACCACTTTTGAAAACACTGCTGTCCTGCTAAATCAGTGGTTTCATTTCTTTGAGATACTGATCTGGAATAAGTTTTAGAACTGGGCATTTTGGCCCATTTATTCTGGGTCAGAAAGGACAGCTAGACATAGTGTTTTCAGTTTCTCTCGCTACAGTTTTTTTAAAATAACTTCTTGAGTTGCCATAGACATTTAAAACCTGATAACTTATGTAACTTATTAATAAAAATGACATGCTTAAAAAAAGTTTCAAAGTATAAACAGAAAAATAATCGAATGCAGATATATAAAGCACAGCAAGTTTCAATCGCTAAACAATGTATATAATGGTAGATATACAGCTACTCAAGATGAAAGCATTGTTTGTGAACATACTGCAACATGTAATATGTGGTCAAAAACAAGGGAAAAGCAAGTAGGATGGGAATGGATAGGGAAATATCCGGGAGAAGGTCTGAAGGGTAGTAACTTGGATGAAGGAAGGTGGAGGGTCACTGATTGGATAAGGGGGATGGAAGAATGATCAGATATAAAGGGTGGGACAAGGATATTTACATAAAGGTCGTAGATCTACGGGACTCGGGAAGAGGAGTAGTCCAGTCAGGTGGCAATGCTAGGAGGACTTATGATTGGTCATTATACAGGTTAGTTTTGGAATCAGTTGTTGGGGGTGTGAGTACATCTAATTTGCCTAATGAACCTTCAAGTTGAGCCTTAAGATACCAAGATGTATTTTGAAATGGGGATATCAGTTCATCCAGACCAGTCGGAGAAAAATGTGCGCGGTGCGTGAGTGGTTGAATTTAGTGTCTATTTGGTCGGTTAGCATAAACCTAAAAAGGATGGAGTGAACATCAGACAGGTCAGATGCCGCCGCACTGAGCCACTTTGTTAATATAGTCTTTTAGGCAACTATCCTACCGCTCTGTGAGTTAATTTAAATTGCATCTCCCTCGACTTCAAATAATTGCTTAGTAGACATTATTCCATCCCCGGAGACTGCTATCATAGGTGTCTTGCGGGAAAAGGTCTGCCAATAAGTCTAACCCAGTTTGGGAAGGAGAGGTGGACAGTAAATGAGTGGTCATGGAGGATCGGGTATATGTGTGAGGGACAATTTAGAAGCTAAAGATTGCAATAGGCACTGAAGGGTGGCGTTGGATTGTTCCCTAGAAGAGGAAGGAGGCATATAAGCTTTCAGAAATCGGGAGATCTGGTGGTGTTGCAGGAAGTGAGTAGGGTGGAGATGATACAGTTTGGAACATATGTAACTTGTATAGCCTCCCTCTATCTCCACTTTAATCAGTCCTCTTTGGTTTTCTTTGGCATAATATCTGCCCCTACTAACTCCTTAGTGCTAACGTCACTCATTTTCTGGATCCTAAGAGGACACTGGCACGAAACCCTGCAGTTGGCAAAAGTTGATCTCCATCAGCACAATAGCTGTTTCCTGCCCCAAGCCTTTGCAGTATGTCATGATGTTTTTGTGGCTGTCAGTTGGGAGAAGCTGTTGAATTGCCAGTTTGGATAGAGCTTACTTGTGCAATATAGCATTCATGATTTTATCAGAATTGCCTTCCATTGCATTACTCCTTTTTGTGAACTCAAATATTTTCACAAAGATCATGAAGACTGTAGCTGTTTCTAAACAAAGTGTTTGTCTGACACTCATTATTGGCCTTTCTTCATAGGAGAATGGTTGAGATTTTTCTAGTGTAGGGTAGGAAATGATCACACACTGAAGTGGCTGCTATGGATAACATTGCAACTTTTGCTTCCTCACCAGTTGTTTAGTTGAAAGTTGATGCATTGTTTGTTGTTTTATTAATGAGGTCTATTTCTTTCCCTAGATGAGGACTCTAGAATAAGTGGCATGTGCAGTGATTGCCCTATGCAGTCCTTACTAAAGTCCTGCGTATTGGAAAGCTGCACTGGAATCATTTTCTCTGTGGCTATTGGCCAGGAAAAACTTCTTAAATTCTTGGCAGGGAGCAGACAGGACTGTGAGCGTCTAGCAGTGCTCCATTGCTTCTTACTTCACCTCAATCTCCATCCACTGCAGGAAACGCAGGTAAAGGTTTAATAAGAATGTTTTATATGAACTGTTTTTATGCCTTTTTATAATACTTCCTGCTGATTTCATAGGGTGTCCGACCTTTCCGAACACTCTTTATGCACATCAAAAGTGTCGTCTCCTTTTGAACAAACTCAGGCTGGACATAAATGGCCCAATCCTGGACATAAATGGCCCAACAGATGTCACCACAAGAATGAAGGGTGGGGAGATATGTCTGCCTAATGGCTAGCATTAGTTTTCATGACCTATTACAAAATAAAAAAGCAAGAAATTATAGTCTTGCAACTGCTTGACTTTTATGTACTGCATGCCAAATTCACACAAGGTTTTTGTTAGACAGGTATGACATGAAGCACCAATGGGTGTTCCTCATGCCTGCAGTAGCTTTCAGCTTCCTTAACTATGCCCACATTGTTCTGATAGAAAGCTTCAGGACTTCCTCTTATCTGGATTATCTGCCCCTTCTGCCTTTTACACATTCCTATTGGATAGTGGGGCACCCCATCATAGTGATGGCCCAGTAATATGTGGAAGCAGGGCTTAGTGGCAAGCTCTGACACAGCATAGCAGAGGATACTGAAAGCTGCTGCAGGTATGTGCAAGTGCCTCTGGGCACCTGTCACTAGCTTTCAATATTCTTAAAATTCCATTGTCTTTGTAATCCCAGTTTGACGCCTACATAGGTTGTTGCATAACCAGATTGTTTTGTTTTTCTAGATCGTTGAATGGATCTGTGAAAACGTGTCTAGCTGTCAAACATTTGACCCCATACAAGAGTTCTTAATTGGTATATATATATTTTTTTTGTTTTAATATTTTTACATGTAAGGAATGATTGTGCAGAGATGTGCATTTTTCTGTACCTGATCAGAGCAGGTCTCTGCAAAAACGTGGTGTGTGGTGTGTGTCTATATCACTGCATGTCAACTCATCTGCATTTTTTTTCATGAGGTTTTCAGGCATGGTTAAGGTGTGAACGGGTCAGCTTCCCATAACTGTTAGTATGTTTTAAAGTTTAAAACCCAGTTCTATGTGTATAATTTCTGTTAATGTGCAAATATGGCTGCCCCCATGTTATTGCACTATTACTAGTATCGGTGGTGAGTATAAATAAATGCTCCCGATGCCGGAACTTCCGGTGTCAGGAAGCCGGGCGGCGAGTCATTACACGCTGCCCGGCTTCCTAATTGGCAGGGAAGCCGGTTCCATGATCCCTCGTCACTTCCCGGCCAATCGGGAAGCTGGAACAAAGGAAGTTTCTTGATTGGTCGGGAAGCTGGCCAATCGTGAAGCCAGGCGGTGAGTCATTACCCACCTCCCAGCTTCCTGATTGGCCAGAATGCCGACTCCATGCTTCCTCGTCACCTGGTGACGAGGGAGCATGAACACTGCTACCAGACTAATAGGAAAGCCGGACGGCGAGTCATTACATGCCGTCCGGCTTCCTTAATGGGACTTCCAGTGTTGGTATTTGGTATCCATGCATCCCTACTCATATATGCAGGCGCTACTTCATGCTTTGGAGTGCTAAACAATGGTTGTGGCTTACTGCTCCTTTTCACAAGTAGGTAACTCCTTTTGAAGGCTAAGTTCCTTTCTCAGATATTGTGGAAAAAAATGAACTTGCCCACTGCACCATACCATCTTTCCCCACCTATGAGGTACTTACATGCCTGAAGTCCCTGCGCCAGCGGGTGCAGTAGCCTGTACGCAAGTTTTCCCAGCCCTGCAGTATGGAATGCTCATAATGCTTGCAAATGGGAGCACACATTGGTCAGCATGGTCACGTGGCCACAGTGACCAATGAGGCACTTCTTTTTTTCTGTGATCTGGTCCCTGGCTCAGAAGTGCTTATCATTGGTCAATCGTGGTCATGTGACCATGCTGACCAATGAGCACTTAACATTTGTGCGCATTATCATTCCATGCTGCAGGGCTGGGTAGTCCGGTGTACAGACTGCTACATGGGCTGCCAGGGACGTCAGACATGTAAGTGCAGCGAGGGGCTGGGGGGAGGTGATGGGGTGCTGTCGGTAAGTGAATGTTTTTTAGAAAAATTGTGAGAACTTGTCCTTTTAAATCCATGCCGCTGATATCTTTCCTCAACAACTCTTGGAGACTGAACATTGAGAGAGCTCCCTCTTGCCTTTTCTTTTCTCTTTTTTTAAACTTCTCTATTTAATACAATAGCAAAAAATGAGAGGGGGCATGCTCATAAATATAACATTATTTGAATGTAAACACTGCAATAATTACATATGTATGAATACTTTTTTTTTGTAAGTTTTGACCATAGCTTGGTTTCTAGAACATTGGGACCATAGGAAATCTGATTTTCAATTGCCTTGAATAGTAATTTATTGTAATGGATAACCTATATAGTTAAGACTAGTTTTATAGTTCAAAACTTTCATTTTGATTTTCTGATTCTTCTGGAAAGTCAGTCGGAAATGATATAGATGGAGCTGTGTTTTTTTATGTTTTGGTGTGTGCAAGTCCACTTATTTGATGCAAATGTATCCTTACTATATATGAAATCAGCATAAACCGATATTTCAGTAGCTGTTATGCCCTTATTTTATTTTTCTCTTAGCTTCTTTACACAGGGATTTAAGTTTGGAGGCCACATATCTGGATAAACTTTTGGCATACACATCAGTGCCGTTATGGAATATGGTAATATTTTTTAGAACTTTCTGTATTAAAATTAAATGCATCTCTAAGTACAAGGTGAATGTCCTCTCCCTATCTGAAAATTTTAAAACCTGACCGGGATTCTAACCATTCCCAAGCCTATCTAAAATGTAACGAAAAACCTTTTGACTAGATTTCCAGTTTACTTTTGACTGTATTCATGTTTTTAAAAAAAAAAGGTTATTTCTGAATTCTATATACAAAAAAAAGATACCAGTGTAATATTTCCTTTTTTTCCCTATTACTATGAGGTACTGTATTTTACACCTACTGTTGAGATCATTAATATTGCTTATGATTTTTGTTTTTTTTTTTTTTTTTAGATATTAAAGCTCCAACCCCTATTTTTATTTTGAGGGGTGTGGGTAGTTTAGGGCCTGGAGCTTGACTACTGCATTTAGCATCAAGCCAAGCAAACTATGACCAAGCAGCTTCTTAAATCTTTAGAACTCGGAGCTGACTGAGGCTCACTTATCTTAATGCATCAAAAACCGTTAAAAACTACAATATAATGTGAAATTTGCTAATCCATTTCATTACTATTTTTTTAGGACATACGTGGGGTTTCATGTACAACCGACATAATAGAAATTCCAGTTATGAAGGTAAGGCTTTTAATCTGAAGAAATGTGTAAAATGTTTAACAAATACTTTTAATTACTCTTTTAAAAAGGGTATACTAAGCTGAACCACATGCCTGATATCAGTTCTTTGGTGGTTGATCTTTGCATCATATTTATAATTTATTGGCAGATTATAACATTTAAAGGCTTTTGGGAGAAGTTTTACTTGGAACTGGAATATATGAAACACAGTCAGCAACGTTTTCTATGCAGCAGTCACATGCAAAGAAGAGACTGGTGCAAACTCATTTCACAGTTGGTAAGCTGTACTTCAAATTGTATCACTCCTTTTAATTTCATAGTACCTTATCTATTTTTTTATTAATCTTTAGGGCTGGTAATGATTAAAATTTTCGTGTTCGATTAATCGAATTTTTTTTTAAATCGATAAATCGAATAACTTCGATTAATTATAACGCACATACAGATCCAACTATGTTGGCCTATACACATACAGCAGAGCAATGAAGTAATAAAATGAACTAGGATCACACTAATCCAGCACGTTATTAATCTCACGTGCCCCACTCAATATGGCCGCCGCTTGAGTGGGGCAACTCAGAATAATAACGTGCTGGATTATTGCCTTGGCTGGCGCTCGTGCAGAAAGTTTCTTGAGCAAACACACCGGGCCAAGTAGCTCTGTCGGCTAACGAAGGGGGTAGGAGTCCGGTGACGTCATCGTCACCGGACTCCTCCCCCCCGCTTCCCTTCGTTAGCCGTCACAGACATCGACGTCACCGGACCCCTCCCCCCTTCCCTTCATTAGCTGACGGAGCCACTTGGGGAAGGGGGAGGAGTCCAGTGACGTTGATGTCCGTGACGTCACCAGATCGCCGATGGAACTCCCGGAAGCTGGCGAAGAGGTAAGTGTTTTCATTAGCGATCAAAATAATTTTAATCGATCAAAAAGTTTAACGATTAATCGAGAAATTAACCGTTAATTTCCACAGCCCTAATAATCTTATGTTTGCTTTTAAAAGGAGAACTATGAGGTGAGTGATTTACACTCATCCTCATAGTTGGAGCCGAAGCGTGACATTGAAACTGTCGCACGTCAGCTCTATTGATCGGGAAGTGAGCGAACACAGTCGTTCGCTCACTTCCCGATCATCTCCCTGCAGAGAGCGATGACTATCAGTCACCGCTCCCCGCAGGGATTCCTCCCTCCCCACTCCGATCCTCCAGCGCTGACTGGAGGAACAAATGGGGAGGGAGCGGGTACAGGTGGCTCTGCCTCTAGATAGGCCGAGCCAGCTGTCATTCACACAGCTTGGTGGATCTCGACAGCATTTTTTGGGATCCGTCCCGGCTGCGGCTGTCTCCGTATACCGCGAGTTGTAGCTTCCGTATACCTCCGATTCTCCAGCGCTGACTGGATGAACGGCCAGGGGAGGGGGCAGAGCTCGCTGTTAATCAGCCAGCTGGGTGGATCTTGACAGTCTTGTCGGGATGCACCCCGGCATGCGGCACTCAGTATATAGTGAGCTATAACTCGCTATATACTGAGCTTTGGGTCACATGAGGAGGTTAGTATATGTCCTCTTGTGACCCTAAAGAGAACTTTGGGATAAAAATTTTACCACATAGTTCTTAGTTGGTTGGCATTACTTTACACTTGGGCTACTACCACTTGCAAGTTTATTCTTCAATGCATGCAGCCCAGCTGCAACTCATAAACAACCTTATGTACAAAAGGGTGAAGAGTTTGGAGACGTGAAGATCCTAGGACAAAATGGCAGATTTGGAAAAATTATCCAATTCAGCTCACTTTCCAGTTCAGCTATGTTGTCCTAGATTGTTCACTTCTCCTGCCTTCTCCAAACTCTTAACCCTTTTGTGAGTAACACTGTTAATGTTTGATATCAGGCTATGCTTGAGCAAAGTTTTTACTGTAACAGCAGTAGCAGGGCATACTGTTTTTTAAAAGCAGTGCTTAGAGAATTGTTGAATTTAAGTATCTGTGAAGTCTCTTACGTAAAAATATTTTATTATCTAAGAAAAAAATCATCCTAATATGGTGCCACAAAAAAAAAAAATTGATTTAAAACAGGGGTGGCTTCAAAGCTTACTACAGGCATGCCATGCATCCACAGGGCATCCTGTAGCTACAGATGGTCAACTGAGGAATGCAAACTAACCACTCTAGCACGGATCTGCTTCCACGCTTGGCGTGGTTGGTATCATTCAGTAAGAGTTTAGAACTGGCAATATCACCGGGTATTTTCTAGGAATTCACAGTACCATTGAAAAAGAAGTAACTTTTATTTAAAAGCGAGGCATAAATTCAATATAATTAAGGGTTACGCAGACTTTAAAGTAGGTGTGCGCAATTCAACATAATATGCCATGCGTTAAGCAGTATTTCTGATCTGGCAATCTCAATTTTAGACAGTCAGATTATTTCTGAACAAATTGTTCAATACAAGGAGGTCTTGGTTGTTTACTGCTATTATGAATGTCAGCAGCCAGTTTACATTTCCAATACTGCATTTTTACTTTTTTTTTTCTTCTTCAATTGAACTGATACAGGATACTGGGGAGAAGAGAAATTCAGTCTATCAGCGAAATATACTTGAAAATGCAAAGAAGTAAGTCGGCGTCTGTTTTTTTTTTTTTATCAGGTGTAGGCGGCTGTGTAACTGCAGCTGTTTGTTGGTAATAGAGTATTGCTGTATATTTGTTTTTGCGTTGGATTTTATGAGCTGAATCAGACTAATAGCTGCTGCTAGAAAGTGTGTGTGTGTGTGCGCACATTATAATACAGGCATAGGGTGTTCCTATAGCAGTCATAACTGATATTCCACAAATTTCACAATGGAAATGGAACTGTATAAAAAGTCTATTTTGTTGACTAAAATCACCTGCTATAGAGTTTAAGAAGTCCTACTGAGTTATTCTTAATAAAAATGTATACACATATACAATGCCTGGCCAAGAAGTTATCGCCTGGATTTTTGGGCAGTGTTATGATCTTGGGTTGTTGCAGTTGGTCAGCTCTAGCTTCAGCGACGTTATGGGCCCAAAAAGGTCAGCGGTCTAGCTGACTATACTGAATATCCAGGCTTTTCCATCAATTGGTATTTTTCTTCACTGATGGCACATTGGGCATATTCCAAGATGACAATGCCAGGATTCAACTGGCTTAATTTGTGAGTGGTTCAGGGAGCACTAGACATCATTTTACACACCGCAGAGTCCAGACCTTAACCCCATTGAGAATCTTTGGGATGTGCTGGAGAAGACTTTTCATAGTGGTCTGACTTTTTTCCATCATCACTACAAGATCTTGGTGAAAAATGAATGCAACTCTGGATGGAAATACATGTTGTGACATTGCATTAGATTATTGAAACTATGCGTGCCATAATCAAAGCTAAAGGCGGTCCAGCAAAGTGTGTGTGTGTGTGTGTGTGTGTGTGTGTGTTTAATTTTTTTTTCTTTTTCTTTCTATCTCTTACTATATTGTTTCTTTATCCTTTCAGGGTTCTTTTAAACATGGATACAAGGGGATGTGGTATGCTGTGCACTATTTTGAAACAGAATATTTATTTTTAAAACATTTTATCTATTGACTATAGAGTGCTAAACCATTCACATCAGCGCTTGACAGTGAAGGAGCTTACAATCTAATGACCCTACACAATGTACAGACACTTCTGTGTGGAAGACTGTTATAGGAGGAAACGGGAAAACAAGGAGAACCACACAAACCACAAAATGTATATTTGGTGTAACCAAACCTATGAGCTTAGTGCTACAAAGTAGTAGCGCTTACTCTGAAGACCTCCGACATCTCTTTTGTTCAGAGCACATTGCACATCAACAAGTGCTGTCATTGTGTTTTTTCTTTTTCTGTGTACAACAGGAAGACCTGATTTGATTAGAATACTTGACTTCTATACTTATCCAAATGTGATTAGCCCATAAGATCACATTTTTTCCATCAGCGACCTAGATTGTTTGAACGAATTGTTCAGTAATGATAAACCTATCTACAATGTGTAGCATTTTAATAAGAAAAAGATGGTAACTGCATACATTTATAACCAGCCTTTGTAGCAGGGTGCACATGGGAAGGCTTACAACAATACAAAACTAAAGGAATCCCCAGCACACCTGCCAGCTGGCTTGCAACAAAACAAAATACCCTGTCTAACGGTATACGTTAAAAGCAGAGGTTTTAGTTTCACAAACCTTTGGCCAAAAATATGTAGAAGCCACACTGCCCTGTCAAGGCCCCTCTGTAAAGTGTGGTCCTAACTCTATTTATATGAGTCTCCTAGTGGGAGCATATTGATGCAGTCGATAAATTTAATGCAGCTGTACCAGGAGGTAGCCTACTCCTCCTCACAAGGTGCTGTCACATCCAAGATAGTCAAACTAGAAAAAGATGGTAACTGCATACATTTATCTTGGATGTAGTGACGCATTGGGGATCCCAGCATGCATCTGTGGTTGCTGGGCCTCCAGTGCGTCCCTGCACCTTGTGAGGAGGAGTAGGCTACCTCCTGGTACACCTGCATTCAATTTATTAACTGCATCAATATGCTCCCACTATGAGACTCATATAAATAGAGTTAGGACCACACTTCACAGAGGTGCCTTGACAGGGCAGTGTGGCTTCTACATATTTTTGGCCAAAGGTTTGCAACTAAAACCTCTGCTTTTAACGTATACTGTGAGACAGGGTATTTTGTTTTGTTGCAGGCCAGCTGGCAGGTGTGCTGGGGATTCGTTTTGTATAGCATTTTAATAAGACTTTCGTCCTAAAATTGTCTATGATAAATTACTTCAGATTTGTAGGTTTGAAATGATTAAATGAGTAATTGTAAAATTGAAGGCAGCGCAGAGCAAGAGACATTATAGTAAGTTGCTACAAAAGGAGCATTTACAAATTTTAGGGAGTCAAACATCTTTAGTGGGAAACTGCTTTCAGCTGGTGTAAGCTAGAAAGTAGTCAGGCTTTAGCAACAGTATGTCGTCGGTATAACAATCAGTATGTACATTTTGGGAGCAGGCGATGTGAAATGGATAACTTTTAATGGGCAAAAGGAGGGCCGTCTGATAGTACACTTTAGCAGGCATTAGATGGAAACCAAAGATGAAGCCCGGTTCTCAAACTAGGGGGCAGATGTCCTAAAAGCAAACACAGAAGTGACTTTTGCTGAGAAGACGCATCCTTTATCTGTAGCTATAAATCAGTACCTGATATTTATCTGTGAAGGTGTTGCAATAAATTCTTTCTATAGCTCCTATTCCTGTTTTATCCCTGTGAATGATAGCTGCACTAAGTGGGCTCTCCAGCAGGAGGTACCTGCACTGTTTCTTTGTTCACTTCTTGCTTTGACAGTAGAAATTTGACTGTAATTGATCCAAACCTGGATTAAAGGACAATTAGGACACATTTCAAGAGTAACTGATGCAGAAATCAATTAATTCCTAGTGGTTCACAAACTGTTATAGACAATGGGTTGCAGTGATGAGATAATTACATGAATGCCATCCAGCTTCCAATCTTCATCTGCCTGAAAACGGTCTTGTTATTGCAGAGGGCTTTGCATTTTCCAATTATGCTTTTTTTTTTCTTTGCCTTTTATTCTTGCAGAAAGAACTGTTCCATTAATCCAAGAAGAAGACTACCTCCAAAAGGATCTAATGGGACTGGTATGTGTAGCATGACAAAATGTTTACTTTATGTAAATTTTCTTCAGCTCATGTTGACGTCTAATAGGGTTGAGTGCTGAAAGACCTTCTCGTAAATAAATGTGTAGATCTTTCTAACATTGGAAATAGTTGGCGGTTCTTTAACTTCTGCTGTAGATATGAGTGTAGATTGTTGTTGTTGTGTTTTTTTTTATATAACTTAATCTTCAAAACCAATGTTTGTACTCAATATTTTCATCTTTTTATATTGGTATATTGCCAGTTGAGATTTTACCATGCACATTTGTGCAATGCACGCTGTATAGCATTGGTCTCTCTTGAAAAGACTTGCATTCTCTGCAGTGAGCACTAGATGGCGCCAATTTTATGATTGTTAAACAGTCTTACACGACTAATATTTTTGTTTCCAAGTTTCAATGAACTAGAAGTGTGAAATATCTACTAATGCTGCAAAATGTGCACTGAAATAGGTCGGCTAGGTCCATGCACAGTGATCATTTGGCTTGGTTCTTTCCTTGCACTGCTTGAAGTGTATGGTTGAATATTAGAGAAATCAGTACAATAACTTTTCTTCAGTAACCGTACAAGAACCATAGTGATGTGCATGCTCTAGAAAACCATACTCTTCCACTCATTTAAAAGTTAATGGAAATCTTCGTTTACCTTCCACATGTTTAATCTTTGCATTGTGATGGTTAAATACATATTCAGAATATGTTATCCTAAAGATTAATGAACTACTTTTTTTTTTTTTATATATACAGATGATGGTAAAACTAAGAGATCATTTATCACAACATCTTCATCATGTTGGAAAAAACAAGATTGAAAAGATTGTTTTGGACTTTTTTTCTAAACAGGTAGATGCACTAAGTGGCTGGGGGCCGTGCAGCAAATGATTGAATGTGAAAAACGTCATAGCGCTTCTAATATACGTTTAAATATATCGTGGAGCATGTGTAGGGGTTTTTTTTTTTTTCTTTTTGTGGGAAGTGTGTTTCTGACTTTCAATAAATATTATGCTTTTCCTTAGTGCAACTATACAAGACCTATGCTTGCAAAATTGTAAATTTTTCTAAATGTTGCAATTAATTGAAGTTTCCAACACATAAGCTAATACCGATTAAGAAATATCTGTTGCTCAATTTGCATTAAGAGGGGTGGGTCGGGGAAGGAATTTGATAGATGGATAGATATAGTATGTATGTACACACACACATGTAACACATTAGGGATGCACCGATACTTTTCAGATACCAGTGCCGATACGTGGCATTTTTTATGAGAACTACCAGGGTTGCAGCGGTTGCAACTGTGACCTTGCTCTCCACCACTGTCCTGAAATCATTAGTCTGCATTGTTTTAGAAAAACTGTCACATGGCAATAAGCAAAAATTTATCAGTACTTGTATCTGTGAGTACTTGGACAAGTAATAGTACTTGAACTTGCAAAAATGGTATCGGTGCATCCCTTATATAAGTTTAAAAAAAACAAAATCCTACATAAAAACAGACATGCACAAATTCCAGGAGCTCCGTGTGCTCCTTACAATTGACAGCTGCCTCCTTAAGTTTTTGAATTTTTTCTCTAGTCTAGTCTTGTTGCTCAAAGTATCTGTACTTATACTGAGTACGGTACTCGGTATCCGTGCATCCCTACTACACATAATATATAATTTCACTTTGGCGTTTAGGGACCCCCCCCTTATAAGCCATTAATAAAAATGACTGCCTTAATGCTAGTGACAGGTTAACTTTGAATTCTGCAGGTATCTACATTGGTGTTGATAATTTTATTTCCCCCCCCCAGCTTGACCTAGTGTGTCTGATACTAGAGGTTGTGTGGAGGAAGCACATGCTGGATTCTAGCGTTTTAAGCTTGTAAGTATATAATATTTTTTCATATAATCCTGACTCTAACACTAGCTTTATGCTAGCCAGAAGTCTGTTTTTATTATGATCTAGAGTAGGCAGTTAAGAGACATAGAAAAATACATGTAAAATGTTGGAGGATAATGTGCAAGGGGAATTTTGTCTGACCTTTTAGGGCCCGTTCACACCATGTGATGTGCACTGTGCAATTAATGCTATCTTGCAAAGCGCCTACTGTGCATTACAATTAAGCAGATGCATTGCCAATGGCAACCCAACGCACCTCCCGGCTGCAATCTGCTGCACCACGCGTACAGCAATATTGTGTGGTGGGAAAAAAGTAGTGCATGCACTGTGATA